GAAGAAGGTGAAAAGGAGAGAGAATTAGACGGCGTGAGGAGATATGGAAGTACAACGAAATAGAAAAAGAGAAGTGAGCTATCTTGAGAGTAAGCCAGAAAGATAGACAAGCAGAGAGAGAAGTGAAAGAAAGACAGAGAGGTACAATGGAAAAATCGAAAGAAAACATTAGAAATAATAAAATTGGAGAGAGCGGGCTTGAGAATCCAACAAAGGGAGAAGGGAGTAAGAGGTAGATACGTAGATAGATAGATAGATAGGGAGAGAGAGAGAGAGAGAGAGAGAGAGAGAGAGAGAGAGAGAGTGAGAGAGAAACATACAGACACAATCATAATTTCAAATTTGATCTGCCTATCCTCGCTGGGTTGGTCTGTCCATGCTTTTCGGCATTAGCCATCTTCATAACTGGATCTGTGTAATTTCTGTGAAATCAAGTCCAGGGGTAATCAACAAAATAACAGTTCACAAATTGGTCAATCTCACAATTCAAAACATCTAGTCATTTACATTTTTATAAAATCAATTCAACAATGTACATTTTCTTGAAATCAGATAGAACCAATAAAAAATTAGCATTTTTATTTCCTAATTTTGAAATGTCATTATGAAAAATTGAAAGTCACTGAAAAACCCTTAAAATAATCCAAAAATAGCTAATTAAAAAATTAATTGCAAGCACCATATAAATATTGCGTTTAACAGGAAATGTTTGCGATTAATCATGTTTGATCCAATTAAAATTAAATTATGTTTTAGTCAATCACGTTGCATGAATAGGTAAATAATTTTGCATCTAATGATCTATTTTCAATAGAAAAAATAATAAAAAATTTCGATTATTTTTTTATTAAAAAAAAGGATAAAATTCAGTTTTACACCTCAAGGTAAAAAACATTTAAAAAAATTGTAAGGTATAGCCAAAAATAAACTTTCTTCTTAAATAATCAAAAATCTGCAATGGAAAAAACATCGTTTAATTATTTAATTAACAAAAAACGTTATATTCAATCTAGCAAATATAACTTTTGTAAAAGTTATTTTAAACGAAACTGTGAACCGACTTATCAGCAGCCACATCCTAACCGTTGAACATGACCTGACAAACCACTGCTCCCCGGAAATAGTTCACACAATGAGCAAGACATTTGCAAAAACTGAATAATCGTAAAAACAAAAATAATGGTCTAATAAAAGTAGTAGCCCCTGTGATTTCATTTTCGTCATTTTGTTTATAATAATGAATAACGGGGGAAATTGTTTTTTTTTTATTGTTTTGTCTGAGTGCATGTATTTATTAGCGTGAATGGCGAGGGGAGAGGGTGAAATATAACATCATCATCGCCCCTCGAACGTTGTGAGCGTATGAGTGTGTGTTCGGGGTCGATGGCGGAATATTTATAAAAGTACTCCATCGACCCCAATTTAGTTTAGTTTGAGTATAGGTCGGTGGAGGAATATCAAGTACTCCATCGACCAAAAGGAATGAGTGTATTTTATGGATGTATTTATGTGGATGAATATTTTAATCTGTATGAATGAAGTGATTGTAAATAGAAGTGTAAATAGAATATTGACTTAGCTTGGGGCTGAAATGACCTAGATGTCGGAAGCCCTAGTAAAAAAAAAAGTAAAAAAATAATAATGAATAACGGTAAAAATCTTCTAAACCTTTTACCTCGAATTTTTCATTTGAATTTTCAATCATTTTGATTTTAATAAAATTTTGATCTGCATGGCAAAAAGCTGAAAAGAGATGGAAAGGAAAAAATTGTCGATTTCATGTTTGGTTGTTTTTATTGTAAAGAAGAGAAGCAGATCTGAATACGCGGTTTATATGGTGACAACCATTCTGTGAACGGGCAAACACAACCATCCGTACGTCCGGGATTAAGGCGGAAACAATAATAACACTGAGAAATTAATTGAATAATCCAGCCGAGGTTTCCGCTATGAATGTCGAGATTTCGAGATTGTTAACAAACGGTCGAACTGACAATATATTACGTGAAAGAGAGTAAAATCCAGGCACATGAATAACCATCAAAATTCAATAAAACCTTGTTTTCTTTGATCTCTTTACTCTCAATATTATTTCCGAGTGAATCTCAGTGTTGAAAAGCAATCTTGCTTCAGGGTGAAATGTAATCAGCGTTGACCAAATTCTTGCCTTTACGCATGCAGCGTCAAAAAACAATCAACGCAATTTCTTCCAACAATGACAAATTTACCTAAACGTTTCTAGTTTTTGTTTTCTTTGAACAGTGTTACATGCACACTATTTTTTCGAACGTTATCTCGGATCGGAATATATCCGATAAAGAATGTGGTTCCACCGCCTATTTGGAGTGGAACTCCACTCAACACCAATATACGTCGAATCTATCGACCAGTGTCCTAGAGATTACAGTCTCAACGGCCCGGGGACATTCTTTCTTCAACCAAGCGGGAATTTATCCTTTTTTCTATAAAACGGTCCGTTAAAAAATTAGATTCTGGGTGAACGCTTAACCGAATCCAATGAGAAGTTTTTTCTTGATGTAAAGGAAAAGCTATAGTCAAGAAAGTTTGTCGACAAGTGTATATAAAAAATAAGTTTATTGTGCTTAAAATATCTTGATTAAATTTTAGAGAGATAGTTGTTGTTAGTTATTGAACATTATGTGTAGAAATTGTATCAATTTAAAAAAACATGACCTCTGAGAAACATAATCATTCTTCAGCGTAAATACTTTATGATTTTATTACAATTTTATTCGCAACAGCCGTATTTTTGAATTGGCATATTTTCCGTTTCAAAGAAAAACCTTGAATCATGGATAATTAACCTAACGCTAAGCCTACCTAATCGATTTTAATCCATTTTAACCTTAAGTAAACTTAATCTAAAATAACTCGTCCCTACATTACCACAAGCCTACCTAACCCGCTCATAACCCTACTTCCTGATCTCACCCAAATTTATGTCTAACCCTACCTAACCGTAACTAATCCAAGTCCCTGACCAAACCCGTACCTAAATTTAACCTAACCCGTTTTGAACCCCAACTCAAAGGGTTCCTGGCTAACCCGTTTTATATCTTAACCCTACCACTTTAACCCGGATATATATCTATAACCTAACAATGTACAAAAAATATGTACCATAAAAATTTGGAGAGATGGAAATTGTTATTTATTAAATTCACTAATTTCGTGGTCCGCTTGACCAATTAATATATTACAATTAATTAAGGTTTTTTAGTTGAGATAAAAAAGTCAATGGCACGAGCGGGATTCGAACCCACGATTCGTGCCATTGAAAAATGGCAAAAAGGAGGGAAAATTCAAAAGGTGGGGTTGAGATGAGAGGTTAGTGTCCGAGTGTATCGAGATCACGATAGCTCAAGTGGTAGAGCAGCGGCGTATCTAGACGAAAATCGTGGGTTCGAATCCCGCTCGTGCCATTGACTTTTTTATCCCAACTAAAAAACCTTAATTAATTGTTATTTATTAAACAAAAATTATGAGAAATGTACCAATTAATTTTGTCTGATATCGTTCTAATGAGAAACATGATCATTTGTCAACAACAGTAACATATGAATAATTGTTCATACATTTATATACAATTTTTTGGGTGTACTCAATTTATCCATTTCAAAGTTATGGTACGTCTGGTGGCCCATCAAAGATATTTAAAAGCGTAAACTGAATACACCATGGTTCTTCAGCATTATAGGAGTCAAGAGTAAAATATAGAATACATGATAATCCGAAGGTGTGAGGTCAAGATATGAAAAAAGGCTGCTTTGCTATCCTGCAGATTCATTTTTACCAAACCTGACCTCAGTAGACTATACACACAAAAATGTACAAAATTATCAAAAGAAAAATACAGATGGCCGGGCTGAATTTCTCTTGAACCAATGAGGGTATAAAAAATACGTTATTACTATTTTTTAGTCTAGTTTCAGATTTTTCCTTTTTTTTAGAAAAAATGTTACAGGGTATCTCAGGCCCAGTTCAACTTCAAAATTTTAAATGCGACTCTATTCATCCTGCCACCTCATTTTAGAAGATAGTTTTACACTAAAAATAATTTTAAATTGGCCAAAAACTGATAAAACTGATGGCAAAAAACCGGCAGAGTAAATTCTACGTGGAGCAGAATAATTTTACTGTTCGCGAAAATCCTAATTCCACTTTCCAAAATGTTGGAAAGGTTTTTGGTTTATACTTTGTAAATGCCACTCTGATAATAGCTCGAACAAAACATCTAATATTTAATAGTAATGATTTAATTTGATGAACGTTACATTAAATAACTTACATTGATTGATTTTATTGTAGTTTTTTAAATATTATTACTGTTGAATTATTTCCAGAGACAATTGCTTCAAAGAATATTTTGCTTATCAGATAAAATGAATCCAATTGTCAGGACTAAAGGATCCGGTTGGATATTCGTATCTGGAGGAATTTCATTTAAGGTGATATAGAATGTTCATTCACAGGATATTTTTTCAATTTCCTTCTTTTTTCCTTTGGAGGAAGTTTCTTTTTTCACTGTCGAAGCGTTTAAAGAAAGAAATATTGTCTACTTAGTGAGACTTTAAAAGAAAATCTTAATATTGCGTCAAGGTGAGTTTTATTTCTTTGTTTTTATATCAATTTAAAGTACTTTTAATAAATAAAATTCTCTATTTTGAAAATAATCTTATATTTGATCAAATTGAGTAAAATTGATGGTCTTTTCGTTATAAATTTCCATTGCAGCTTATCGCTGGCCAAAAGATTTTAGGATAACAGGCTTACCAGGGTAACAGTCTAGTTAAATGGCAGCAGCGGAAGGGATTAAGGAGAATGGATAGAATGGTCAGACAATTAGATGGGATCAATTCCAGATGGACGGTTAAGTACTATCGATCAGAGTGGGAAATAGGCCAGTTGAAAATTTATATCTACAGGATTAATTATGTCGAATTAATGTACTCTAAAGTAAAAAAATAAAATTTACTCACTCCAATAGTCATGTGAAGGTCGTGAGTCTGGTTGCTACGCCATAGGACGACATTCTGAAGTCCGAGGTAGGAAGTGCAAGGCCGAACATGTCCTGTTAAAGCATCGTTTCCGGCTGCGCACGAAAATACCGTCAAAGCGACCAGAAGCAGCATGCTAATCCCTGTAATAAAAAGGAAAAAATAAATAGAATATTTTTTTTTAACTGTGACATGAAGATTATTGAACGGGTTGGCTATATTTGGTTCAACAGTTCAATTTTACGGAAAAGTGTTGACTAATACTCATTGAATTTCTTTAATTATTAATTGAGTTACTAATACTCATTTACTATTTCTTTTAGTTTTTTCTTCAAGCTAGCTAAGAGTAAATTTATTATCTTCTACCTATCTATTTGTTTATTTCTCTCTCTCTTCCTCTCTCTCTCTCTCTCTCTCTCTCTCTCTCTCTCTCTCTCTCTCTCTCTCTCTCTCTTTCTCTTTCTCTTTCTCTCTCTCTCACATTATCACTTTATGTATTTACTGTTGTGTCTTTCTCTCTCTAAGTGCATACCCGTTTCCCAGAATAACAGGTCCCTAATATTAATATATAATGCTAATATGATACTGTAATATTATTGTTGTAATTTTAAAAATTATAATAATATTATAAAACTAATTAAGGAAGTAGTTTATGGGATGAATTGTTTGTGTGTGTGTGTGTGTGTGAATTTTTATATTTGTATATTATGTTAAGAGACATTAAATTATATTTTGAATAATATTAATGCTCTCTTCCAGAATTTCCCTCATTTGCGATTAAAATGCGTTATTCAAATTTCCAAGATCATATTTTAATTCCACATGTACTAACACAACATGGGTGCAATTAGCCTATCACACTACATTTACACCTGAAGATTACCCAGACCAATTACAAATGGAACAAAGATTTTCCGGTTAAAAGCAAAATAGAATGGCAATAAGAGTGTAACGCGAGAGTGAAAGAGGAAAAAACCGGATCGTATTGATTTGACAGGGTGGTAATCCCTACGGGCAATCAGCATTAAATGTCACTGTCGTTAAAAGTAATTACACGGAGGTCGACGAAAGCATAAAACCCGTCGCCCACAGTCAACTGGGTCAAATGCAAAACTCTGCTTGTTCCAATCCAATTTGAATTATTTTTTTAAAATAAATACGTAAATTTTAACAAAAATTATTATAATAAAACTATCTAACTATAAATGATAAAATAGATATTCAAGTTTCAAATATAAAACCAGTAGATCAGAGAAATGTATAAGAAGAGAGCATTATAAAAATCAGCTTAACTTTCTGAAAAACTTTTTTCTTTTTTTTTTAAGAATTGTTATTATATAATTTATGAAGTTTTCGTGAATTAAAAAGGGACATTTTATTAGTTCTAAAGGTTTAGAGTCGGGAAAAGCCGGCAGATAAGCGAGAGCTTTAATTTAAAAGTCAAAACAACGATGCGAGCCATTAAAGAAAAACGTTAAGGGATCATTTGAACAGGAGCTTATTTATATGAAATGCAAACAGTAATAAATTAGGAGTATAAATCAAACGCAGCCGTTTTAAACGGTTTCGAACGTTCCAATCTCCCTCAGAGACGAGAAACTTATAAATGAGAGACAAACAGATTGTCTCGAACAATTCTGAGAAAACAGAGGCCATTATAAAGTCAATTAGGACTAGGGAAGGATTTAATCCCTGTCTACTTTGTTTAGAGTTCGAGCTTTAACCCGGTTAGTAGACACCAAAGAAGTCCATTGTGTACACCGGCAGTTTAGAAAATTTAGCGCCTAAAACGGAATTAATGCTTCAACTTAATTATACACCTTGGTAAGTTGTGTGTAAACAAAAAATCTCTTTCTATTCTAAATGCTCAAAACATTTAATAACTTGAAAACTATTATTTATGGCGTACAAGTTTGATACACTCGTGATGAAGGAGTTATATCCATCGAAAACTCAACGAAGTAACTTAGTGTTATCCATCCAATTGGATAATCCATGATTTTTAATAGAAAATTAACTAGGGAAGATGATATAAGGTAAAGAAATGCCTTTGGTGTGTGCGTTTATTTCAAGATTAATATAATCAACTGTTTTGTTTTTTACTTAAGAAATATAAAAATATGCAGGGTTATATTAAATGTACGTATATGTATACGTACATGTATGTATAAAGTTACAAAAACCAAAAGGCACTCCCTAAAAAGAGTCCAATTCTTTCTTTTCGAAAGAAAAAACATTCAGATTCTACACATTCTTTTAAGCCTAAGTTTAAAGATACTCCATTTTTTACAATTTCTTCTATAAAATCTATTAAACGAATTAAGTGCATAGCATATGCAAAATAAGTGAGTCAACCAGACCAAGAAAAATATAAAATGGATTTGTTAAAATTACCGGTACAGTTTATGATTTTGTTTTAGGAAAACGGAAAGAAATTAGGCTAAACCCGCACGACTTGTATGCCAAGCGTAAGTGTTGTTTTTAGCGCCGTGCTGTTAAATGCATTTTTTTTATTTCGCCAAAATTTGATTCAACCTGTTTTTCCCAAAGGGTGCAGATTTAGATAATTAAAATTTGACATTGATGCAATTAAAGAATAATATAATAATTGCAATATTTTATATCTGAAATCTTTTGTTTTAAATGTTCTAAAAGCGAACAATCATTTTTAGGAATCTTTTATTTTCGCTCTCGTATTTTATCTCACGTTAAAGCGAAAATGCCATTTGGTGATTCAATACAAAGCTTGTTTGGCTTTGGGGAGACCAAATTTTTTTCACACCTTATTGTGACAACACTTCACAATCGATTCGGACCGGTTCATAAAGCCTGCGTGACAACAAATTGCTGTTAGCTCCGTTTAAAATTCCTTTTGTCCGCTTTGAAGCCAAAGTTTATTTGAAAAAGTTGGGCAGGATATACGCTAAGAAACAAAATCGATAATCAGTGCACAAAATCCATTTTCAACACAATGGCTGAGTCCCATTTGAACGACGGAGACGTATAAATTCAAGATCAATCTGTCCGGTACAATTCGAGTAATGAATAGAGGTGTGAATTATATTTCCCATATTGTTAACGTTGTCGACTGAGAGGGAAAGGGGCTGGAAGCAATAGATAACAGATCTTGTTTCCCCATTTGATGGTACCTCTCCTATCCCACAGATAGGTTGAGCAAAGGAGATGGTTTATACGAGAATTGTATTGTTAACTTGTACGGTGATATATTCCAGTTTCTGGCCGGGTGGTTTACCAATTGGATGAACTCTAGGTCTCCGGTCGTTTGATCATGAGCGGTCTACTATACGAGAATTGTAAAATTTTAATTATATAAAATGACGGCAACCCTCTCTGAAAATTTGGTAAAATACTGTTTATCAAAATCATTTCGGAACGTACGTTTTGAATATAATGCCACAAAACTTTTGATAAAAATTATAGTTAGTTTAAAGTTTGATATGGGTTAGGTTAAGCGTAGGAATAGGTTTTTAATGTTATGTTTATTAAAATTAGGGTGATTTCAATGCTTGGTGGATCAAAATCTTTTTGAGAAGATTTTTTTGTCAAAAACCATAAAAAATAGTGATAAATTCAAACGGATTCCATCAATAGGCAAAAAACGTTGAAGCTCCTGTCGGCCTCCAAAAATGTTTGATGGTCAATAGACATAAAAATGAGAGAGAGGCGGAAAGAGAGAAAGAGAGAGACAGACAGACAAACAGACGCACAAACGGCCAGATAGAGGGAAGAAAAAAGAAAAAATATTTTTTCTGTTAGGATTGGATTAGGAACGGGTTGGGGTATAAAATTCCTACTAAGAGGCGTTTCGCTTAAAACGAAATTCAAAATCTTTTCTTTTTTCTGGAAAACAAATATTTTGGCCTATTTTACTCGACAAATTTTTGGTACTTGTAACTTTATATATCTTGCATATTTTACGCTTATAGAAAACATGCACAACAAACGCGGAGAACAATTTTTAAAACTGGTATTTAATTTATTTAAAAAATTATTTCTATTAGTTATCAATTTAAGAGTTATTAAAAATAAATCATCTGTAATTGCATTATAAATGAATAATATAAAATGTCCATTTTGTTTTTAGTGGATTTTTTATGATTCAGTATTGATTACATTGATTAATTAATTACATACGTTACGAATTACTTATTATACGTGAATGGATCTGGTACTCCAAATGAGGGTGAAAATCTTACATTGTTTCGCCTCTCGATCGACCAATCACAATTATTTTCAAGACAGAAGAGAGAAATGGCAATACTTCCAAAACAATTTACTCTCCGGTAACAAGGAAAGGTTGTAAAATCTGATCATTGGATATCTAGTTTCCTTATTGTCCCGGCTTGGCATAACAGTTGAAAACACCCTTCCTTAAGCAGAAATATAGCTTTTGATTAAAACGGGTGTTTTGAATTTGCTTTAAACAATTCGACGCTTAATTAAACCTAAGATGGCTACCGTAAAATTAATCACCTAATTAAAGGAAGTTTCTCTAAGTTGTTCCATTTCCTTCATTATTGGTGTCCATTTTTAAACAATAATCATTATTTTTGTTTAAAAATCATGTTTTCTCTCAATGAAATAAACGTTAAGTTTTGAGAAATATTTCATCTTACGAACAATACAAATTTCCAAATGGCGTTAATAACGAGGATAATCGTCTTCTCTCTGAAAGGATTTTGTAATTGTACAAACTCAAATATGACGATGGCAAATATGTGGCTAATCATTGAATAAATCGACAACTTCATCAGCCACTTAACCAAGTTTAATATGGTTCTTCATTTCCAAATATTGTATATGTATCTATTTGGCGAAATTTTCAATATTTTTTTAAAAAGTTAACTTAATTATTACTTTTTACTTTTACTTATTAATCACCCTTTACGTGGACCTTTCTAATTAATTTTGTTAATCACGGAATCCTTCATTCTTTGTTTCACTTTCTTGCTAGATAAAAACTTTATTCTTATTGCTAAAAAATATGAAAAAGTTATTTAGGATCTTCTACAATTAGTAAACTAAATAACTAAGATAAAATAGTTATAGGAGGTAAAAAATTATCTTTCAAATAAAATACTTTTGAAAAAATACATTTTAAAATTTGATTTAAAACTTATTTAAAATGTTTAGCAAACGTCATGCACATGCTTTTACCCAATTAAAATATATATGCTGTTTAGTAGGTGTCGCACTTAGACTCCTAATCCGTTTAAATAAAACAGAATGTTGAGAAACAAGTATTAACTTTATTATAGTTTATTATTTAGCCTTTGCTGTAGAAGGAGAGAGAAAGAGAGAGAGAGAGAGAGAGAGAGAGACGCTTTCTCACGTTTCTGTCTCTCGCGCAGTATTTATCTATCTTTCCTTCTAACTCCATCTCGTTATTTTTTCTTGTCTTCTCCCTTTTTCTCGATTTTTATTATTCTAAAAATCATAATAGAATGATGACTGCATCGCTTTCGGCTCGAAACCCGGCACAGCCTATGGAATTTTAATACATAATAATGTGTCAAACGGATTGAAAAATGGTTCGACCTTTGTCCGCGTCATATAAAGGGTTTCAAAAAGTAATTAATTTGTAACACCCCTTATAATATAAACTAAACATACATTACAGTTTTATCTATAAATAAGAAGACGAAGCATATAATATGCGAGTCTAAACAGAGCGTTATTAGGTTTTTATATTACAACTTTAAATCTCTGGTCGTCCAACTCAGCGAATCATACCCATAAATAATAGAAGATTTCTTGATAAACTATTGTAAATAAAATGCTTGTGAAACATGCTTGACGACATGATTTGAAATTTTATAAATGGATAAAACTGGTTCGAAGTTCCTATTTATGACAATTAATTAAGGTTTTTAGTTGAGATGAAAAAAAGTTAATGGCACGAGAGGGATTCGAACCCACGACCTTCGGCTAGATACGCCGCTGCTCTACCACTTGAGCTATCGTGACCTCGATCCACTCGGACATCAACTCCCCATCTCAACCCCACCTTATGAAAAATGGCAAAAGGAGGGAAATCACATAAGGTTGGGTTGAGATGGGGAGTTGATGTCCGAGTGGATCGAGGTCACGATAGCTCAAGTGGTAGAGCAGCGGCGTATCTAGCCGAAGGTCGTGGGTTCGAATCCCTCTCGTGCCATTAACTTTTTTTCATCTCAACTAAAAACCTTAATTAATTGTCATGTATTAATTGGTCAAGCGGACCACGAAAGTAGTGAATTAAGTTCCTATTTATTTTCCAAAGTAGTCTTGAATTTGCGTTTAATTTTGACGTAGGTTTGTTAAAATTTTGAATAACAGACTTTAATTGTGTAAAACTTTAAAAACTGTACTCATTAAGCATTTTATAGTGCTTATCATCTATTTAAGGTGCTGATCTTTTTTTACCTGGAAATGTACTATGTATCAATTTGTATTTAAATCCATGCAAGTCGATAGTATAGAAAGGTTGTTGCAACGTCAGCGGACACTCGACTCTAGCCAGTATGAATGTGTTGTGGGCCAAAAATAGATGAGATAATTTCAAGTGTGCTCTTTTGACTGATATATGGCAAAAAAATCTTATCTGATTTTATATATAATTACATGACTGAGCATAAAATCGTCTTGTTAAAAACAATAAGCTGATTGGTTCTGGTAGAATTTGAAGTAGGTATAGGTAGTATTTTACAATATTAGTACAATAATATAAGTATACCATCAGAACACATTATTTATTCAAACATTTCTGAATCTTTTACAAAAATTTTATAATACGGGCTGTAAGAATACTTTACTAAGTCCTTTCCAAATTAAAAAAATGATTCGACAAGTTATATAAAGTGTTCAAATTTATATAAATGTTATTTTCTGTACTATGCAGGTTGTCATGTAACTAGTTGCACTACTGGGTTATTCAAAAACTAGGAACATAGAAAGTACAATTATTTTTATGAAAACTGTCGTAAACCATTTGAGATGTAGTTTACACGTATAACTTTTTAAAGGGATTTCTATATCGTCTATTTGCTCATGATTGATGATCTTTTTTTTAATGTTGAGCGCCTGAATCATGAATACAGCGATCAAGTTATTGGAGAAAGATATTTAATAATCTGACAGACGTTCGCACCTCCCACCAATGCTAGAGCACAAAATTGGTAGAAGATAATGTTTTGTCATGTTACTCTGTCAGCAATGATTGAAACTGACAACACCCGAACACATTTTGTTGCGTTTAAAATTTCACAATATATTACTTAATCAATTTAACGAAAAAGGAAAATGGAATCTTTACTATTTATCCCAGGGAGGAGTGGTTACATTTAAAAAAGTAAAGCCTTAGAGGTATGGATCAATATAAGCAAAAAAATAACTTTTTTCTTATAAGTTAAATACTTAATCAGTGGAATTTTTTTTCTTAGCATAAGAGTCATCTTACTCTAGTGTCAGTTCTTTGCAAGAAAATCAATCATTAATTATATAAATGTTGAATTAACACCTCAAACTGTCGAGAAGTACATTTATCAATTAACCACCATCCTTTGTTTAAAATTTCTTTTATTTTCTCAACAAGGAAAAAGATAGGGCCAACGTTTTTTCAACGTCTCAACTTCATTTATCGCAAAAATACCACACCGCTCTTTAAAAAAAAAACAAAGCAACCCCTGAAAAGTTAATTAAAAACCAACAGTCCGATGTCCACGTATAAATATTGATCTTTATGTGAGCTTTTTCATTCAAGCACCTGTATTTCCAAAAATTTATTCAATGGAAATGTGTCATTTGATAGACATCGCATATCATAAAATTTTTAAACCAGGCTGTAAAATCTTTTATAAGACATTAATCATTGACATGTTTATTAATTACTTATTAACGTATAAATTAATAATAAAACAGCATTCGATGATAAGGGTGTGTATTGTCACCATCAGACCCTTAGTGGATTTTCGGGCTTTTTTACCCAGAGGGTTTCACCGGGGCCTTTCGTTTTTACAACATTAACGATCTTTCCTTAATATTTGAAAAAAGACATTCTTGTTATCTCGAAGTTGGAATGTTTCTTTATTAAAGAGAAAAAAGAAAGCAGGATTGTAGAGAGTTATGAATCAAAAAGATGGCCAACTGGTCGTAAACTTCTCGAGAATATGGGTGGCTAATCTGAAAGTAGGGACTCGTCAAAACAAGCCCATTGTCATTATACAGCCTAAAAAAATGTAATGATGAAGTTATAAAACAAAACGGCATTAGTTTACTACTTGACAGTTGATAGCCAACGTAATAATAACAACCAAGTTTTTTTTTAATATGTAATAAATATGGATAAGAGAACTCTTAAATGATTAATATCATTTCATTAATCCAGAGCGGCTGCCAATGGGTAGCTTTCTCTATAACGCCCACAATGCTAAACACAAAATCTGAAATCCAATCTGCTGGTTGTATATAATACATGTACAGTTGTAAATACAAATAAATGAAGTCAAAAAAAAATCTTTATTAACGTTCCTACAGAAATAGTTTCGTTTTTCTTATTTATTTCGTGCTTTGCTTTCGCTATATTTTCCACTGTGCGACAGAGGGATTAAAACAAACAAATTGACAAATTTAGTTAATTACAAATCACGCCGAAATACGACGTTTGACTCCGCAAGCGCAAAGATATCAAATTCATTTCTGAGTATACTCGATATACACAAGATGTAGTTCTTAAGATAGCCATCAACAAAAAATCTTATTCATACAACTTCAACCTGAAAATGCATTCAAGCTACACAATGTATTTCAATATTGTGCATGGTATTAATTTTGTCCTAGTTCTTTGGTTTTACAACTATCATTAATAATGTCCAATTTATGTATCATGTATATGAAATATATCTGTAAACTAGATATTTATATTTAGAAAATCATTTTCTGAAAATCTATCAGCTTCAGAAAAATATTGGAATATATAAAAAAATTTAAAAAAAGTACCAATGTATAAAAAACGATAAAGCACTACTTATAACAGTAAAATGTAACTACTAAGTGCGATTTGGCAGAATAAATAAATATATTTACATAAATAAGAATATGTAAAAGGACGGCATTGAAAGGAATTTATTGAAAAATTCCACTTTGGGTGGTTTGAAAACCGAAGTATATTTCTCTTTGCATAGTCGCTCACTCACAAACTAACTATAAAAATTTATACGTTATATAACTGCCCATACTTCTTGTGTATATTTATAGTTTCATGTTTTATGTATATCAAATAGTCAGATAGTTATACGCACATATCAGATTTTAAAAAAGCAGTATTTGTTAACGGACCTTTGAAAAATGAGAACACAGAACATCAACTGACATTTACTAGAAACCATTTGCCAACTGTTTAATGATCGTTGATCATTCTTGTTTGTTTGTGCGGTTTTTCTTTCTTTTTTTTACTTCGGACGTGTTTCTGCGCCTCTCAAATCGTTATGACGACGGTCGTTAGATGTAACACAGACAAGAGTCGTATTTCTACACTTGTCATTTTTTCTATAAAGAAATTGAAACAATTTTAATATTTTCAACACTTCATTCAACATTTATAAAAATTAAAATTTCTTTAGATTTATAAGGTCTAAAGGTTAAATTTGTGTGCAAACAATATCAAGATGAAATATATGTTTCGTATATTATTATTGATATTTTTATAGTCTGTTAGTACGAAAATATTTGAATAACAAATTAATATTCTTAATAATTCATCTTTTGTAAGGAATAATTAGAACTTCTCACTCACCCAGTTTTTGTTAAACAATGAAAGCCATGCATTTAAGAAAGCTTCGGAAAAAAGTTGTACCCGAGCTCTTGTTAATTTTCCATTGTCGATGCTGGTTTCAACTTTCTTCGGCTGTTTGAAATTCATGCCTCTTTGAGTAGCGCGAGAGCCCATCGTAAATAAAAAGCCCTCGACCGCAGAGTAGTGGCCCTCTGGCCAATGAAATATTCATGTTTTGCATTTCCCAACCTTGAATGTCGAATAAAGAGAGAAAGAGAGAAACTTGATGGCCATAATGAAGGATTAGAATTTGTTTAGACTTTGAATATAAAATTGAATCTTAAGTTCAATTGTGTCGTACGGGTGCGTTTAAATTCAAACTATTTTTAAGGAGTAAAAGGACATAGTCTACTTTTACTTTTATATTATTTCACATAATAAACTGGTTTTACTATTAAAAACAAGATCGATGCAAATAGTTAATCTAGTAGTTTTGTTGGTCGGACAGCAAAAGGATAAACACTTGTAATCGACACTGGTCACTTTAGTAGGTTCCCCTATTCTCGCTGTTTTCCTTGTAATTTTCGATATTTAGTGGAATTGTTTTTAGTGTGTAAGTCGTGCATCTCAATAAAGCTCTTTTGTTTTTTGTGGGTGGTTTGATTGTGCCATTTCTGGATATTTGTTGCGGTTGGTCCAGGTTGTTAAGTACTTTTTCGATATTGTCTAGTATGGCAAATAAGAAATTTCTTAAGAAAAGACATTTTTCAAGAACAGCCCCATGAAAAGTAAACAAGGTAGAACAGACGGACCCAATTAAGTGATTAACACATCAAGTTCAAAATATGGAATTATATATATANTATATACATATATCTTATCTAACAACAATTTTAACTTTTTATTCACTTTTAATAATGCTTTGTATCAAGATTCATTACCTTCGGGTAGGTCATTAGACTTCCATCTTTCTGTAATTGCTTTTTCCGTGGGAAAACGTGTTTCGACTTTCAGCTGAAGTCCGTGCCTTGTATACTTGAGGCTCGGGTTTTATTTGAACAACTATCCCGTAGATGGTTCATGCTTCCTGTATACGCACGTATAACGTAATGTTTTAATTGGCTGTTGAGAGTTTTATGTTAGTACTATTGCAAATTTTAACTGTGGGATATTCAGGAGATGAATAGAAAAACATATCTAAAATATCTAAATGTAATTACTCATTTAAGTTTTCTTTAATCTGATAATACATGAGCATATGTTGTATATTTTTTGGACAACATATAACCGCCATTTATTTATGAGACTAAGTTTAAAATAAAATTAATTGTGAACCTATACTATAGGAAAAATGTAATGTAAAAAAAATAAACTAAAAATAATACAATGGCTGGCAAAACATTCCACCCAATTGATTTTTTAAATTTTCTCGTTAAAAAAAAATCTGCCCGTAATTTGTCTCATTGTTGTTACCAATAAATATTTGTTTAGCCATGTATCAAATTGGGAATATCAATTTGAGGTAAACACACTTAATCCATAATCCAGAACAAGGATAAAGGATTTTTTATTGGATATTTTTTACCGAATTTAAAATGTTTATTCAGTCTCATTTGAATTCTGAAGCAAAAACTGTTTGTTTTTATTAGGTTTCGTGGTCCGCTTGAACAAATAAATTCTTTTCAATTAATTAAGGTTTTGGTTGAGATAAAAAAGTCACTATCACAAG